TTGCGATCATCGAGGGTGTTCAAAGACGAGCTAGTAAATGTATCCTTCAGGATTATGAGTTGCCATATCCTGAACGCCTTAAAAAGCTTAATTTATTACCAATATCCTACTGGATGGAACTAAAGGATCTCGTCTTCTTTTTTAAATGTAAGCACGGTCTCTTCGACCTAGATATCTCCTCTTTCGTCACTTTTTCTTCAAACAGCTCGTCTCACACCCGTTCAAGTTCGGACAACTTGCTTCGTGTCAATCATTGCAGGACTTCTCTCTTTAGGAACTCTTTTTTCAACCGAATTGTCTTTCTCTGGAATAATCTCTCTCCTACCATTCGTAATAGTTCATCCGTTTCCTCCTTTAAAAACAGACTAACTGTTCATTACTCTTCTCTACTTCATTCATCTTTCGATGTAAACAGAATGCGCACTTGGAAAACCTTCTGTTCTAAGTGCCGCTCTTTCAACTTAAGCTGTTGTTCGTAATTCGCCATGTTTTCTGTAAATTTTATATTTGTTATCGTCTTTGATTTATGTTTGTTATAGTTTGTTTTCATTAAGGTTGGTCTTCATATGGGGCTATTCATGTCCTGTTGACCATACCTTCAACCATATTATGTAGTATTTTAGTCTATTTTATGTATGGTTGTAAAGTTAATAAATGAATACATGTCATATACCGCCACCTTGTTTTTGGAGTTATTACAATAGCTATACGCCCGCGATGTTTGATGAACTTCATACTTCGAGCGGAATTAGTACCCTCGCCCCGGGATTACGCCCGGAACAGCGCTCCGCGCCGTTGGCTCGGGGATAAATTTTCATTTTCGATTACACGGCACGTTCTGCCGATGTTTCGTTTGTCGCAAGCGAGTTAGTCCGGTTTCCTCGGATGAAATTTCCATGTAACAGTTTCATCCAGGCAAACCGGACTGACAAATTGCATACGCACGATTTTTATCTCGAAAATGTAAACAAATAATGATTTTTAATTGTCTTCTTTCACACAATGGTCACAACGGTCTGCAAATTCACTCACAACTATATAAACTATTCTCTTCTGCTTATTTAATTAAAAAAAAACTCAAACTAGCACTGATCAAAATGTTGTTTTAGTGTTTCAATAAACGCTTAAAAGTTTCAGTTAGTTTCAGACAGTATACACATGGGCGTACCGGAAGGAAAAAATTAGGGGGGCGGAAAGAAAATTGCCCGACTTTTCGTGAAATTGCCCAACTTTTCGTGATTGTGCCCGACTAGTACCAAAAAATTTTTCCCGGAAAATTATATTGGCGAAGTTAACCTCATTAGATTGATCATTTTCATCAGTTTAATAACATTGGGGGAAGATTTTACCGAATTCTAATGGTCAAAAACTAACGTATAATATTATATGGGAACAGCAAATCTTAATTAAAATTGGGCAAGCTGGACTTCTAGCTAGGTTTTCTTGTTCTTATACTGAATATGATTTGAATTTGCCCAACAAATTGTTGAATATTTGACCTACAATATTTGCCATATCAACGCTCCCCTCTTACTCTCCCACCCACCCCGATTTAGGCCACTGCGTACACGTTTGGAACAGACTTCTTTTTTTACTTCCATCCAAACAACCAGGATATAGGGAACGTCCATTCCGTTTGCTGAATCTCGCTTGCGTGTTTCAAGTGCTATCTAGATAATCGAGACAGCTCGGTTGTCTGACATCGCCAAAATTCTCGATGTAAACTTTACCAAAAAATAATTATAGGATGAGATTTCGAATATGACATTTTGCATAAACAAGTAAAGTAATAGTTTATAGGTCATAAATGTCCCTCGCATACATATATCAAATAATCCTGCGCGTTTAAAGGGAGCATATGTATTGAAGAAAATTATGATTAGCTTAATAAGTATTTGATCAAGACAGTCTGATATTCATTAAGGAAATAATTATAAACTATACTTACTTGTTGGTTAAAAGAAGATTCATTAATTCATCTACCTCAGTGTGATTCACGTGTCCCTGGAAAAGATGGCTTCTTTACTTATATGAAAGCTAAATATATGCTCTTTAACGAAAGTTCCATGACCTGATTAATCAGAATGTTTTCGTGAGTTATTAAAGTGACTGAGAAGGGTCATGCGAAATATGTATATCTCCCATCCTATAGCTCTTTATTTGCACCAGTTTATTGCATGATAGGGGGCATCAACGCGGGTGGCGGACGCGTGCTGCTCCTTACCACTAAGTTAAGCCAGCCTATACGTTGAGGTCACAAGATTGGCATGGTAAGGGATAGAGTTGTGATTGGGGACAAGAACAAAGAAGAATAGGCCTATATATTCATTTCTAAAGTTGTCTGTTAATATCGTCATGTTACTCCAACGAATATAACTTTCTTTGTTCTTGACCCAAATCACAAATCCTACTCTAACAGCCTTATGACTGTAACATAATTAACGATATACTGTAACCTGCTTCGAGGACGTAAACTTGGTGGATTAATTTTGGGTGACTACCTTAGTACCTTGATTATCTTGATGTGCCTGAAAACTCATATGAGTACAGTATAATAATGTGGATGAGCCTCCACTGTGCTTCAAGAGTTTCTTTCCAGATCTTTTGGTTAATTAAAACTAGATAATTTTATTAAATACCGTATATGACTTAATAAACACATCGGATGTTTGTGAACTTCTCTCGAACTTTAAGGAGACGTTTATGAGACGAGGCGCGTCTATTAGACAAAAACATTGCAATTACTCTAACAAAGTGTGGTTTGCGTTTTCTAAAACACTTTTCAACAAAAACAGAGTGAACTAAAAGTCAAAACTCTTCAAACACTACACAATACACTGATTGTAGTTATGAGGGCAAGACTAATAATTCAACAACAAGCGTCACCATGCAGTAAATAATCAATAATTGAATCAAATCACAGTTTATGATCAAATAAACTTCTTTTCAAGGAATGAGTGTTTTTCAGATTAGGAGTGCTTAATTAATAGAGGGGAGCATTGATTATAAAATTCTAGATTTACCTGGGCGTCTATATTCATGCAGGGGTCTTTAAGAATAAGAGCGTTTATTAGATCATTTACGTTATTATGAAATTTACTGAACAATTACTCTTTCAGGTTCTGTTCTCCGCCATTTCATAGCAGTTTCTAAGGTCGCCCACTCAAAGTTTTCAAGAAAGAATTTCTTATAGTTCTCGTATGGAGTTTTCTTCTGAAGCACTGCATGATTCAATGCTGCACCAAAAGCAAAATAGTTCTTAGTTTGATTCACCTATAGATACAAATTTAGCATGTAAGTTTGAGATATAGTTAAAACATAAGTTGGATCACGGGCTTTTATCCACAGTGCTTTCATTGAGAATTGTATATAGGAAATTGCACGGTTCGATTAATGTTCAATCGGCACAGTTTTAGTCTGCGCACAGACTGTCCCTTCCGCCCCGTGGTGGAAGGATAACAGTCTGCGACCATTTGTCACTAATGCTATATACAGTGACGTAGACGTATAAATAGATATAATATTGTGCACTTCAGCACTTTAATGGCTTTCTAATTTTATTATCCAATCAGGTGCGTTACTTTAAATAAAGCTTATATTATGTAAACAAGGTCAATAGACAATAGACAAGGTCAAGCAAAACAATACAACGAAATCGAAACATAAACTGGCAAAAAAATATGCCAGATTTGTAAATTCTACCAAATTTATTCATCCCAAAAAGTTAAATGCTCTTTTGTGTGGCAATGTCTGCCCAACAGCACCCAGAAACTTTATGTAATCGGTAAAACCGGTATACTCGTCTCGAAATTAACTAAGCAAATTTATGCAAATATAATTTTGAAACGAACCAATGAAAAACTGCCGATCATATTTCGTCGGTAGCTTGTACGGCATTAGCGTCGAATGACAGCAGACTGTAGTCCCGCGGGGGAGCGGGATGCAGTCTGCGAGCAGACTAGCACAGTTTTTAACCAATCAAGAATCGAGTAAATTGACTAAAATTATATTAAGAGGTTAATCTGCCTTCTCATTAATAGTTGTGACTAGAACTATGAATTCTCGGGCCAATTTTCAACGATATTTAAAACATCGCTAGTGGCAGTGCTGCATTTTTCCCCAATTTATACTCCATAAAAACCATCTTACCTACAAAAACATACAATACTGGATCCGCAGTAATGTTTACCTATAGTTTGCTATATAGGCTATGTTAGCCACATATTTCCGTTGTGGTTCTATTATTCAAAAGTCTTTCTATATTAATTTTATATTAGTATATACTAATTACCGTGATAAATACACATCAAATCATACATAAACAAAATGCTCTAAACTAAATATTATTTAATTCATAAGTAACACTGTTTTATAAAATGGTTTAAAAACTCATTAATAATTCAGGAGCAAAACACAAAGTAAAATCATAAGCGTGTCGTGGTTTTATATGTGATAAAAAATCATGTTAATTTACATAAACTTTAGCTTTGATTTTCTCGGTTTAGACAAAGTTTATTTTAAAAATTATTTCGCCAATGAACTCGTATAAGATGAGTCGTTTTTTAAGCCATTTAAAGCACTTGTAGTCGTGTTTTATCACATATAAAACACTCCGCTACGCGTCGTATTTTATATGTGATAAAACACTCCTACGCGTGCTTTAAATAGTACTTAAAATATCATTAATAATTCATAAACCTGGTGGCAAATCATGTCAGCCATAATATGTCACGTGGAGTGACTTTATATCGGATAAAGCATGTGGCATTATATAATTGTTCATCCTAATTAGTATTCTTTTGTAGTCGTATTTTAAGTTCATGTTTTTATGGCTTTCCATACAATGGCGGTCGTGCTGTGAACTGCTCTTGGTGTTTTAATACTTATTGCTAGTTTGCGTGTTGAAAAGTGTGCTTTCTTGAGCCCTGATAGTGTGGGGTTATCTATTACTGGTAATGAAGTATCTTTCGACATCGAAACAGTCACATTCTATCGAGTTTATGGCAAGCAAAAGGCGGGAAATTCAACTTTCGTGTGTGCTCATCGAACCGAAGTCTGATAAATCTGCTGATCTTAATGTGTGGGGTATACATTCCTGCCCTGGCCCATCGCCAATGGCTCAATGTTTATCGTGTCCAGCGTGCTTAAGAAAGATAGGAAACAACCAGTCAAGAATGAAATGTATATCGTGTGAAATGTTTTTTCACCTGAAATGTTTTGGAGAAGAAGCCGATCGAGTACGTACTTGCAAACTCTGTCAAACGCCGGTTCTTGATTCCACAGACCCTAGGATTGATAACTGCAGTATACTGAACGAACTGAAGGATATTGTTGAGTCCCGTGGAATTAAGTTAATACATCAAAATATTTGCAGTCTCCTGAGGAAAATGGACGAACTAAGACTAATGATATCAGAATTGAAATCTGGTATTCATATCTTAACCCTATCGGAGACATGGCTCGCAGAAAACATCTCGGACGCAGAAATTGAGATCGCAGGGTATCGAACATTTTCGGAAGGACAGATGTTCTAAAGCGGGCGGAATTGTGGCATATGTAAGAAATGATCTGGCAGTGGTGAGAAGGACGGACTTGGAAACTGTTGATGTCGAAGGTTTATGGCTTGAGATAAGTTTGTCTAAGTCTCATGGCTTTCTCGTTGGGGTGTTCTACAGGCCGCCTGACTCTTCAGATTATCACGATTGTGAGTTTATGCCTAAGTTTGATGCAATGTTGGATCTGGCGATCGAACAAGGTAGGGAAGTAATCATAACTGGTGATTTCAACTGTGATTTCCTCCCAGTCAAGGCAACTACATCGTATTGTAAACAACTTAAATCTATCCTAAGAGTACAATATTTCTCCCAATTAATCAACACTGCTACACGTATAACAAAAATTCCTAAAACTTTATTAGATCTTATTACATACATGACAAAATTACTGCAATCTGATTGGTTAAGAGGAGTGCAATTATTTCATTAATTGCACTCTCCAGGAGTGCAATTAATGATTTTCGTGATGGCTGGGGGGAGCGGGAAATCAAAACAACAAAATCCAATATGGCAGCGAAATTTAGATAAGTATTTCTAACAAATGTGGACGAATTTAACTGAATTTTGGCACAAGAATGAGTTTAAGAAGCATTGTATGGCAAAAAGATCCTGTGGAAAATACCTAGAAACAGTCTTAAGTAATAATCTTGGCGGGATGCAACGAAACGTGACTATGTAAGTTTGAAATACAATTTATAAAGATTTTCTTAGTCTAAAATATGTTGTTTGAGTTTGAATCTTGTGTTCTAGTTTAAATTATGTGCCTTTATGAGTTTATAATCATTTCCCAAGTTTGTTTATACCAAATTGCTTACAAAAGAATTAAAAACTCTTGACAAAATGCAGTTGAAATATAAAGAAAGCGATTTTGTCATGTATATAATAAATAAATAATCACACGGGAAGTCGTGCAATTAATGATTAACACTACTCGTGATATTTGAAAAATGTGCCAGATTGCACTCGCCTCGGCGGCTCTTGCAATTTTGGCACATTTTTCAAATATCACTCGTAGTGTTAATCATTAATTGCACTCCTTCCCGTGTGATTACCTATACTTATTGCTACAAACTTCCCACAAAACATAAGCCGCTCTGGTGTAGTGTGTACCGGTTTGAGTGATCATGAGATGGTTTACTGCACTAGAAAAATTAACTGGAAGAGGTCACCAGAAAGGATTAGAACAGTAAGAAATTATGCAAAGTATGATGCGGCAAAGTTTTGCGAGGATTGTGTCAATGTCTTAAACAATACCCTAGATACATCATGCTTATCCGTTAATGAACTTTGGTTACGGTTCAAGTCACTCTTTACTGAAATAGCTGATAGGCATGCACCGTTAATGAATAAGAAAGTAAGGTCTAATCACCCTTGTGCATGGATAAACAGCGAGATTAGGAAAGAAATCAGACAGCGTGACCATGAATTAAAAAAGGCTAGGAAATCTAATTCAAATGGAGATTGGGCAACATATACCGTAGGACTAGAAATAAAGTAACAAGCAGAATCCACTCAGCGAAAGAAAAATATCATAGGAATCTTATTTATGACAATAGTCATAATCCACGATCGTTTTGGAAAACTATGAAAAAGGTCTTTCCTGTAGAGAGTAAACATGTGGCGACTAATGTATTGATTGATGGGAAACTGAGTAAAGATAAACAACAAATTTCTAATGAAACAGTATCGCGGTTGCACCAATCCTTTAGTAATCTTTGTAACAACATCGGAAATATTACATCGCAGTGTTTTTTCAATCGTTTAAATTAAACAGTGGTTTTGTATTTAAATTCGAGGAAGTGAAAGAGCAGTTTATTCTAAATAATTTGCATAAAATTGATGTTAAGAAAGCAGCTGGATTAGATAATATACCACCACGACTTCTGAAAGACTCTGCTAATGTTATTGCCAGACCACTCACAAAGATCATTAACGTATCCCTCGAACAAGGAACAGTGCCTGATGATTTCAAACTTGCTAAGGTAATTCCTGTTTTTAAGAAAGGACAACCCGAAAATATGGACAACTACAGACCGATCTCAGTTCTTCCCACAGTGTCTAAGCTATTAGAGAAGCAGTCCATGAGCAGTTGTATAGATTTTTAACAACGAATCATCTCTTGAATCCTTACCAGTGTGGTTTCCGTAAATATCACTCAACGGAAACTGCGGTTATTTCTCTCACAGACTCTATTCGAAGGAACATTGACCAAAAGATGCTTACAGGAGCCATATTTGTAGACCTTAGGAAGGCGTTTGACACCGTAGACCACTCCCTACTTTTGGCCAAGTTGGAGAGTTACGGCGTAGTTGAAAGTGAACTTGAGTGGTTTAGTAGTTACCTTAACGATCGATCGCAAATAGTTACCTTTCAGAATATGCAATCATTGCCATGTAATATTTCGTCTGGAGTACCACAGGGGTCTATTTTAGGGCCCCTACTGTTCGTTCTGTTTATTAATGATCTTCCAGCAGCTGTTCAACAATGCAATGTTCTGATGTATGCCGATGACACGATACTTTTCTTCGCAGACAGGGACAGTGGTGTAATACAGAATGTGTTAACAACCGAGCTGGAAAATTTGAGAGCTTGGCTGATGGAAAACAAACCGTCTCTTAATAGGAAAAAAACAGAGACGGTGTTGTTTGGAACTAATGCAAACTTATCAAAGGTAACTAATTATGAGCTCTCAATTGATGGCTTTCCATTGAAGCGTGTAACTGATTATTGTTACCTTGGTATTACTTTAAATGCAAATTTGTCTTGGCATTGAAATGTTGATAATGTAGCAATGAAAGTGGGCAGAAGAATTGGAATGTTTCGTCGACTACGGAACAACCTGACTCTAAATGCGGCGGAAACGGTTTATAAGTCGTTCATTCGCCCTCTTATGGAGTATGGGGCAGTATTTGGACGTGCTGTGGTGAAAAAAACAAAGGAAGGCTCGAGATACTCCAAAAGCGTGCTGCCAGAGTGATTTCCAGGTACCCGCGAAGTGATGACGCAATGGAAAGCCTCAGATTGGACAGCTTAGAATCAAGAAGAGACGTACATGTTCTCAAACTGATTAAAAAATGTATTCTAGGGAAATGTCCACAATTTTTTAATAATTATTTCGTTTTTAATCGTGGCAGTTCCTCGCGAATAACAAGACAATCAGACTAACTTCGTTTGCCTAAAGTAAAAACTGAATGTGCAAAGAATTCGTTTTATTATTATGGATGCAAGGTTTTAGTAAGTCTAATTAAGTCGATCGGGACATATAGATAGTTAGTTTAATGTAGGGATTTTAGATAATTTTATACTATTTTAGATAAAACTGTATTGTTACCCGCCCTTAAGGATAACAGTGAACATTCACTGATTGGGTCACCCTGTGTACATAAAGATCTTACATTACATTACATTTATTCAAAACACTCGTTGTCGTGTTTTATCAGACAAAAAACGCTGCGCCTCGCGTTTTATATCTGATAAAACACTCCTACTCGTGTTTTAAATAGTACTTATTAAATAAACCTTTCTGCGTGTATGAAATACGTTCAACAGGGATATAGCCTCAAGGAAAATGTTGGTCAAGATGATATCCTGCATGCACATATGGCCTGTTACAACTCTAGTCTGTTCTTTGACCGATCGATGTCTTAAATTTCGGAATATCCAGGTCTCCATTTCTTCTAGTATCTCGGTTATGAATCCGGTTTCGTTGTTCAAAATTATCGATAGCACAGTGCCTTGAGGAATTCCATACGATAATGCAACAGGCGCCAAAGAGGTAGTTCCAATTCTAACATACTGCCACCTGCCAGACAAGTAACTTTTAAACCACTTATGCACTGCAGAAGATACGCCTAGGTTTAGAATTCTTTGAAGAAGCATGTTGTGATCAACACTATCGAAGGCGTTAGACATATCCAAAAATATAACTATAGATAACTGTTTATTGTCCATTGTTTCCAACAACATGTCTGTCACTGCAATGTTAAGTGGTTCGGTAGAATGTTTTTTTACAGTTACCACTTTGATGCTCCGTCAATAATCTGTGGTTTGTTTGATGTTTTGTATACTCATTCAATATGACAGCAGTGAAATCTGTCGGTTATTTTAAGCGATTTTTGGATTCCCTTCCTTGTGTAACGGTACCACTTCTGCTATCTTCCACATTGAAGGATATGCTGACGTCATCAAGGAACAGTTAATAATATCCGTAACAGGATTTGAATCACTTTAAGTGAATCTTTAATAAATTGAATATTTATCTTATCGGCACCTGGAGCTTTATTTGATGGACTATCTAAATTATTGTTCTGACTTCATCAGGCGTGACTGTTCTAAATTCAAACAGATCAAGAGAAGATCAGTGTCTCGCAGGTGGTAGAGCAGTTGCTATCTGAATGTTGTTAACTTCCGCAAGTCTCTTGACCTTGTCGGTTGCAATCTTCCCCACAGAAGCAAAATATTCATTAAGTTCATTGGCTAATATTTTGTGGTCTTTCTGGTAAACGAGTTTTTCTGAATCTTTGCTCGGCAGACACCCCTAATCACTTTCCACATAGATCTTGAATTACCTTTATATATTCCTCAATTTGATTCCGTACAAAGTTGACGTTGCAGCTCTTAGAGATGTCTGTATAGAATTCCTAAGTTGCTTATAGACATCCCAATCTTCCGCGTTACGTGAAAGGCGAAAAATTCTCAAATTTATGTTTCTCAATTTCATCGTGAACTTTAATTCTTTAGTAATAAACTGCTTAGGTCTGCCTTTAATTCTAACGTGTTTGATGGGAGCTTGTTTGTCCAGAGTATTTATAATGATCGAAATGATCGTCGCTCCATGATGGCTTTCTTGAAGACGCATGTAAATGGAGAAACAACCAGCCGAGACAAATGCATTATCCAAAAAGAGCTTTTCCCGCCCCTTCACCTGCCTCCGCATTCATTATTAGAAATTGGTTCAACCTCGTCCCCAGGGCCTATTGAGGAAGGAGGCGAAGCAGCAAAGGCCCTGGTAAAGGCTGGTCACGTGATGCTTCAAATTTTGAATATTTCAGAATATTTAACTTTTCAAACCGGGGGTGCGGGCCGCTTTGATTTTATCAAACATGGCCGTGCAAAGGGGCGATAGAAGCTTTTGCGACTGAAACTATGATGATAAACTTTTCAACTGACAGTGGAAATAAATATATATAGTCTGCGATGTTCTTCAAACAAATATGGAATATAATCAACATCAATACTTGTCGAAGATCAAGATTCAAAGAGAAGAGTCTAAACATGCCTGACTGACAACAGTAAATATTTCTTTTCAGCTTGGAAGCGTGTTTTATAATATTTGTCGTTTGGGAGTCAATAACATACTGTCAGTGAAGAATTTGATTTGGGACTTTGATGTACCTTTATGAAAAGATTACTACTGAATACAAATGTGCATGTAAAATGTGATTAGAACGTTTTAATATGAACAGTTGCACTGTCATTGACTCAATATATTTTAATGTGGGACAAACATTAAAAAACATTAAAGTACTGTGCCAAGTGACAAAATTCCATGCCGACCATGGTTTACGTATGTATGCATTTTTATTAAACGTTTATACCAATATACATTATTTTAAACCTTTGTGTGTGAATTTTGTGTGTTGATTTTATGATATTTAGGCCACATAAAATAAATTCCTTGATTCTCATCACTACACTTTGAAAATGTCGAAGAGGCGGGAGGTTTATATTTTATATTTTATATTTATATAATTTATATATCAACAAATAGAAGTGTCACAAACCAAAATGAACATATTTCTCCACGAACAATGACTGGCCCATGAACTGAATGCGAAGTTCCGTTAAAATGCAATGAAATTTCTTTCAAGGTTCTGTTTGTTTGAAATTGGCATGCATTTTAAAATGGCACTAAAAACCCAATATAAAATATAAAAAACATAACTGTCTTGAAATATTTTGTCGGGCGGTACATTTATATTGTATAACAAAATATAAACAAATTTCACGCGGCTCTTAAAATACAGTCGGGCGGTGATGAGAATCAAGGAATTTATTTTATGTGGCCTTAACAACCATGAATATTAATAATATAATATGCCGGTTAACAGCAAGTTTACAGTATATCGTATAATACAAAAGCAATATCACAAGACTCAAGTACTGTACATGGTCTAACAGATGTTTCTTAGTCAGCAACTATGCTCTTTGACATTGTGGCAATCAGGTATTCTTGGGGCTTTTAGCTTGGTTTTTCACTTTTTTGATACAACTATAGAATACCCACAACTTTCACACCTTACCGCTATTAATTCCTTGTAAACATTGTCAATTTACTCAAAATTGATCTAATATGATTGCCTCATTCTTCAAAACCCCCCAGTCAAATTTGAACCAAATTAACATACTCATATGATTTAATCTCTAAACTTTACCTTTAAACTAGTTTGAAGAGATTCTTGTACTTATTTATGTGTCAATGAATGCGGAAAAATTGCGAGGTATTCTATAAGCATTCCGGCATGTGTGTTTTTGAATCTTCACTGTTGAGAGAGTATGCCATGGGTCTCCCCAAATTATCTGAGCACTTCCACCAGACCAACAGCTGCCAAATGGCAACTACTATGCTCAGAGGTGTAACTTAACACTTGCCCGGGGCAAGTGAATATCATGACGGGCAAGTAAAAGAATCCTCTTGGTTGCCCGAACAGGCATGCAAGTTGCTTTGCCACAAAAAGCTGGCCAGCTTTCATGATCAGTTTATATTATACTTGTATTCTCACAGTGTATTAAGATATACTAATGCACTTGTGATGCCCAAAGAATTGCCACAAAAAAACCCATAAACCACAAATCAGTCAATTTCAGTAAGTAGGGCACACTGGGGCACATTGCAGCTCAATGGGTTAACTAAAGACATTGTCAGATTTTGGTTAATAACCATAATTGCAAGAGGTCAGTATAGTCTGTAACAATAAGTAATTCAGGAATTCACACAATTCCCAACAGTTAAATGATTATCGGATTTCATGTTAAATGATTATAGGATAATGTTGAGCATCAAGAATATATGTATAATATCCTTCATACATTTATTATAATATTCAGGCTAAATATCATAGTTATTATTTTATGTACTATAGTTGTATCAGGTATAAAGATACGAGGTGAAGCCAAGTATCTTTAGGTCTGATAAAGCATACACTGCGAATGTTTTAAATTGCTCAACTGATGGTCACCAACAACAAATAGTACTTTATTACTAGGAGTTACTATCGCAAGGAAAATGCTGCCGATATGTACATGTAGGATGTGCTACAAAAAGAGCGTTTTTCACTGTATGTATGATTTATTGTCTTACACATCGTCGTTCCTCAGTTACCTTCGTACAATTATATCTTACATCTAATCTTATGAAAAGTATATTTTAATATACTTAACAGTGCGACTTTGATAGTTGACACATAATACAAATGATAAAATGTGAATATTATTGAATGATTTTGTCACTCGTACAACTTTTAATTTGGCTATTCAAACAATTGATTTAAAATAGTTGAATTTATACTTACTGGGATGTTATTGCTTATTGGGATGTTGAAATTATGTTTGTTTTAAATACATTTAATTGATATTCCATAAATTCATTTTGTATGATTTCATTGACCTTGACGTTGTTCAAAATCATTTTGTATTGTATTGAAACTGTATGTCTATGACCTATGTTATGTACTATATTAACCCATTGAGTCGCATTGCACCCTGATGCACCCTACTTTGAACAGTATTTTACTCTGTCTAACGCCAGACGATTTTACTCGTCAAGGGGAGAGTGCTGGCGCTTAATGGGTTAACTGATCTATCTGCCCATGTGTCTAGTTAACCCATTGGGTCGCATTGCACCCTGATGCACCCTACTTTGAACAGTATTTTACTCTGTCTAACGCCAGACGATTTTACTTGTCAAGGGGAGAGTGGTGGCGCTTAATGGGTTAACTGATCTATCTGCCCATGTGTCTAGTTAACCCATTGGGTCGCATTGCACCCTGATGCACCCTACTTTAGTATTTTACTCTGTCTAACGCCAGAGTATTTTACTCTGTCTAACGCCAGACGATTTTACTCGTCAAGGGGAGAGCGCTGGCGCTTAATGGGTTAACACGCCCAAAATCTGTACTAAAACTGCTAATTCTGTTTTGTGATTGGCACAGTTTAATCAAAGAATCCTCCCGTTGAACCAGAGCCTTCACGATATTTCAATTTATTATTAACTGAAGGCTCTGGAATCCAGGATAGCTTGCCATTGAATACAGTGCAATGCTTATATTTCTGAATGAATAAGATCATACTCAGAACAGTCAGAACTGCAAAACTATATTGTTAGAAAGAAGTTGAAGTTGTGAGCATTATTGTGGTAACACAGCCATATGTATATATCAATGTATGTCAGTAGAATCATGTTTATAGGCTTTATATATAACTGAGGCCTTATACAAGTCATATCTTATACAAAAGTCAGTTGATATGCTATATTACATGTAATTGCTGATAAGTCCATATATGCAGACAACAATCCACACTGGGTAGCTCTAGGAATCTTGTTAAGCCTGATTTAACAACATCCCGCGTTTGTTTTTAAACTATAAACATTTAGAAATAGAACGTACCGAACACTATTATATACTCACCGCCTTTGGCTTTGCACATATTAAGTGACATAACAAACAAATAAACTAAAAGTTCATTTGCTTCTTGTATCAGCATAAAGGCATTAATCATTACTGTCGATTTGGTCGGGAATAGATCAGTGATTCAGTGGGTATTATAATTGCCGATATATTCTTGAAATCATTTTGTTTCAATGCCTCTATATCGAAGTTTAATACACTAAAGTGACTAAACAAGTATAAACAGCAGATTTAAATATAAATGCCTTCATGTATTATAAAATATATCACCAGACAGGTAGACAGGGCACACGGCACGACTACATCACTATACGAGAACGAAATAAAGCCATCCTTACCTGAATTATTCAAAATATTGTCGATCATTCTTGCGCCAGAGACACAAAATAACACCGTGCTTTATTTACCCATTCATCTTCACAAATATTACTCGGAATTTTTATGGAAATTCGCATTATTTTATGATTTTTATATTTCTGTCCGTTTATAACAGTCGCCATGTTGTGAACAAACCCCCCCGGGAACAAAAAATAATATCAAAACAGCTAGTTTTGGCCCGTCCGTGGATGACAGAATGACATAAATCGAGATTGTAGCGGCTATAAACTCGGCGGTCACGTGGTAAGCACACCACGTGTAGAGATTAGTGTGCTGCCGAGCTACGCTCGGCAGCAACAAGGCGGCAAAATGTATTTAAATTAAAAGAGATGAATAATCTTGTCACTTGATACATTTGACACCAGGTGTCTTGTATTTGTCCATAAGAGACCCCTTGTTATTGTATCATGTTTTGAGAATGAGTTCAATTTTGATATTTGTTGTTGATCTGAGCAAAATATTGATTATTGATTCGCCTACTGAGGCACACAGTATTGAACAGTCAATTGTGGTGAGTGATGCTGAACTGCCTGTTGTATGTTGTGAGTGATTTTGAGCGCCTGTTGTGATGAGTGACACTGAATTGCCCCAATTGTGGCTCAGGAAAAAATGTACCTGCTGACTTGTCAAATAATCTCTTTAAATAATGTTCTGGGAAGTAATTTGTGTAATTGATTACAAACAAAAACAAGGGCTTGTTAACAGCATAATGAGGAAATTAATTCCCTCTCATTATATTATTCAGCCTTGATAAAGCATATGGAGGCTTTCTGTCTGATTTGACCCTCATGCATGTAAGTGTTTGGGAATGCCTGATCATTAAGATCACAACATTTTTTTTGAAGCTTGGCCTTTGAAATCTAAACCCAAAGCACTATATGTGTGTTCACAATGTTCTTGGGATAAGAATGAAAATCAAATAAAATATTTCAACTCAATTAAATTCAGGAAATGTTATAATTAACCATGGAGGTCAACCAGGTTATACTCAGGGCATATGGCTAACATAAGCATTTAAATTCCAAGTGCATACGATGTTGACATTCCTTGTTTTTCAGACATTCTTTGGGCCTTGTACTCCCTTTAACTGTTAAATATACTGTGTGATATTAACATTTGCAAGAAAGATCTATTGTAGCAACAATAACTATTAAATGTTTTGATGATCATGGATATGGTGTATTGAGAGTCCATATTATTAAATTAAAGTGATTTTACATATCTGTTTCACAATCGAGGCAGCAATTTCCTTGCGACAGTAATTCATAGTATATAAATACTTGTATTGATACGATCCATTCGTTTTGCACTGTTGCTTTGTCTATTTAATAGATCTCCTTTACAGTTCAACCAAGGTTCTCAGAGTTAATTTGAAGACAATTTCAAATTTATTCGATATTTTTGGAAGAACTTTAACAGATTTTTTCATTTTAAAATAGATTTTTGTTCTTTATTTGTCGATTTCGGTGTTTATGCAATATTGACGAATATATTGTAGCTAAAGCGATCCGCGATCGCACCCCCCTGTATAGTATTTGCTCCGATATATCACGTGACAAAATAATCCACAATTTGTGGATTATTTCACCAGCCTTTACCAGGGCCTTTGCTGCCCTTCGCCTCCTTCCTCACAACGCCCTGTGGACGAGGTTGAACTTGGTTATAACATTGCTACCCTACTCACGATTTTCGATAAGGCACGTGCCGATTTTCTGGTATTTTGATCATCTATAAGTATTAACCATTAATTGTCATTAGAAATATGTTTAGTTTTCACCTGAATTCTTGTTGTCGCAATATCTTTCTGAATGTAAGAATTAGGGAAGAATAACCTAAACAAGAAAAATATATTTTACCATGAATGCATCCAGTACACGCACCGCAAAAAGGATATACTGTGCATATAATGTTGAAATGTAGACTTTGACATATGCATGCATATTTATAATATCATAAATTAATTAATTCATTTCATGATTATGCTCATGGAAGAAAAATGTTAACCATTGTAATCCCCAAGCAATAACTCAGAACCGATCTTTATGAGCATGAACAATAAGGCGATAGACCCATTGCACATGACGTCACAGCGCCGGTACAAAGCAAATTTTGTAAAACTTATAATAATTTTGCATTAAAATGGTTAATTTTTGCGCTGTATGTGGTTGTTGTACCCGAACTGATGTTGTTAGAAAGCATCTGGAGGACACTCTAAGGATTTGTGACGTCAGTGCAATGGGTCTATTCGGAGTTTCCACTGCACACCCAAATGACGCCTTCTGCGTCGAAATATTTTGCTGTTGGGCCATAACATGTATAGCTGAGCAGGGGCGTAGGAACCGGGGGCACGGGGAGCACGTCCCCCCCCCCCCGCAAATTTTTCCAAAGGACTAAAAGTGACCCTTTTTGTGATAAAAATTGCCCTTTTTTGTGATGAAAAGTGCCCTTTTTGTAGAAGCTAATGTCGAAGCTAATTGTAGGCGCCCTTTTTTTAATTGTAGGTGCCTTTTTTGCTTTTTTTTTGTAGGTGCCCTTTTTTTTGTAGAAGCTAATGTAGGTGCCCTTTTTGTTTGGAAATTTCCAAGTTTTTAAAAAAAATTTGGTCAAAAACGTGTAATATCGGTATGGTACGGCTGGAAAATTTTTCCCTTCTGTCCCTCTCTCCCCCCCCCCCAGTCGCCAACCTTTCCGGGAAAAAAATTTTAGGTGCCCTTTTCAATACCCTAAAGTGCCCCTAGAAGCTGGTGCCCCCCCCATCTTTTGATGTTCCTACGCCCCTGTAGCTGAGACAAGGTGTTCAGAGTATATACAGCTGCCCAATTGTTATTTGTGTTTCACTTATAGCCACAACTGATATAGAACTGTCATCAAATAATTTTGGACTAACATATTTTATTTATCTTCTGCATTTGTAAACGCTAGCAAAATAGAGAAAAGTTCACAAAATAAAGCGAATCGGCCTTGCGAAATTGTACGCTGAGTAACTTTTTGCATATTCAAATGATAATTGAACAGTAGGCCTTTCCCGATTGCGCTGGTAAAATCCTAAAAAAGTGCTGGCAAAAATGGCTAAAAAGTGCTCAAAAAGTGCTCAAAATCTCAAAATAGTGCTCAAAAAGTGCTAAAATTGTGAACAGTTACCTCTAAGATTTTCGTAAATTTTTTAAAATCAGCATTTTTTAAAATCTGTTTCCACGTCTTTCTCCATATATGGAACAAACTTCCGTATATGGAGTTGTTTACGACAAAAAAAAGAGAACTCGAAAAAGTCAGCGTTCTAATTTTTTAACTGTAATGTAGTGATGGGCGATACCAGGATTTTTAATTCAATACCGATACCGATACTTTTAAGATCGGTATCGGCCGATACCGATACCTATTTCGATACCAAAATGAATACAAATTTTCAATTTTCGATGCCGGAAGTGAATACTTAAATTGGCAGTATCGGCTACTTTCGATACTTGCCGGTCAGTGGAAAAAACATTTTACATTACTGTATGTAACCTAAATAAAGCTATAAGTAAAACCAAAAGCCCGAAACGTAATAAATATTTTCTATACATGACTTGGCGCACCACATTTGAAATATTAACAGTTATTTTAGTGGTTCATTAAGTCTTATTCAACCAAGAAGTGAAATAAAACAAGTCGTTTAAAAAAGGGTGCAAGTATCGAACGATACCAAGTCAGTAATCGATACCGATACCGCTGTTTGTGGTATCGCTGGTATCGAATACCAAGTACTCGGTATCGCCCATCACTACTGTAATGTCATATGCAGCTGTACGGCTTTTCTTTTGGAGTTATACCTAAATTATATATAAAACAATAGTATAATACCCGTCAATTTTTAAACCTTACTCCGAACTGTATGTTTAGTTAATCGAGGTACGAATCGAATTCTATAATCGCTAACTTTTTGTTGCTCAAAATTCGCTCGAAATGTGAAATATTGCTCAAATGTTGCCCAAAGTGCGAAAAAGTGCTCAACGTTGCTCAACATGCAAAATGGTGTTCCAAACAAAAAAAAGTGCTCAAAAAGTGCTCAGCTCAATCGGGAAAGGCCTATTGAACAGTACTCGAATATTTAACAGTTATTCTGCAAACAGCAAACTCGAGTCGTATATGCATGAGCTGATAGCCGCACTCTTAATTTCATGGTGTTAATTTAGAACCAAATATGGTGCTAAATAAAAATGTACAAAATAACACCTTTTAGGGTGCCATTTTAACATCATCATACATCAAAATTTATAACATTAACGTCGGCGCCTTTGGGGCTTTGCTTTCTTCGTTTAGCAATTCTTTCCCCTTTTTTCTCTCAAAAAGCTTTTGAAATTTACAAAATCTTGCAAAAATGAAATGTATTTGCAAGAAATGTATTTGCCGTCCGCCGTCCGTCCGCCTTTTATCTGCACCCCATCAACACTGTGGTGAAAATGTAACCATATTAATAAACAGGACGTGTAATTTGTGCTATTTCTAGTATTTTCAGAAGTCTATTTATAAATATGAAATAACCAAGTGCGACGCTTTGATTGACATTTCTTATAAGGTTCCCTCTAACTTGTCGAAGAGCTAATCAAGTGTCTAAAAACCCATCCCAGTGGGCTTTTTACGAAAAGCAATAGTTCCGTACAGAATGTATACAGAAATCGTCGTCGTGTAAAAATAAATTTTCAGCGTTGTTGTGCAAGCCAAAACAAAACAGAAAAGATCAAGACAAACTCAAACTCAATAGGTATGTTCCACAAATATTTCAACTTTTTATAATATAAATGGGGTTCAATAATCTTTTTAAACTTACACAATTACTTTTCGTATTTTTCTACGCTTGAGCTTGAGGCAACGCTTTTTAAACTATAGTTTTCGACGAATATTTGGGCAATTTACAGTTTATCGACAACTAAATATTTTTGTTTCAAGAACATGAAAACACTTCGTTTACATTGAAGAAAAACGAAACATCGATGCATCGCGAACAGAAATATCGATGCATCGCGAACCGTAATAGTGAAAAATGCCGAGCTAAACATTGCTACCCCTGCTGCTTCCGAAAGACGGAATGAGTCTATCGATAACCAGTATCGTCTCAGTTTTAACAATTCTAACTCGAGCATGTTTGATAGATCTAGCAACCACAACAACTATCAACCGAAGCGACTCGGATACTAGCGAAGGCAAAGCAAATGGGCAAGAAGTGTGTTCAGACAAGCAGAACGAAGGCGATTATATAATGAATTGCAAAGACTGTAGTAAATTATCTGTAGAAGTAGCAGAAATAAAATTGGACTTGGCTTTACTATTCCTAAAAGTTAATACTGCTGAGGCGCCGGATACATGTGAATGCGATCGGCTACGAGGCGAAAATCAGCTATTGAAAGAAGAAATTAAACTACTCAAGGAAACACTGCAAGGCATGGAATTGTCAAAATCGCCAATTAACATCGCTTTCGATAATATGAATAATCAACCAACCGTCACAGACAATGACTCTGTCGTGCTAATTGATATAGAAGAATCCGAAGTGAACGTAAACACTAGTATGAATAATTTACTATCTGCAATAGACAATGACAAACAATATAATACCCGAGGGCCAGTTGTTAATGACTCTCTTATGAAATATAGCAATCCCAATAAACCAGTTAGTCATGCTGATGAACCAGTCGTCCATGACTCCCTGACCTCATTTGACCATCTCCTAAAAGAAAAGGCCGCTCTAAATGCCAGCACGCACCGTCATAAGAGGAATCAAGTGTATAGTTCTCTAACTAACACAACACGTTTTTCGAAACCTAATTACCGGCGCAATCAGTTTTCCAAGCCTAAATATCAATATCGTCAAACAAATTTTCCCTCAAAGAATTTTCGAAGCGGTCGCTATCGAAGGATTCCGAAACCAAGAACAACAACCGCAGTAAGTACAGACACAAGAGCAAGCCAATTCAACCCGATATTCAAAGTGAAACCTTTCCAATCAAAGTCAGAGTTACAGCTCGGAGAAACGAAGTCCTGGCAAGCCTACCTACAGTTCGTCAACCGCACCTTGGACCAGTTTGGAACCCTCGTTTAGGCGCAATCCAACGGACATGTGATAATCATACCTCTCAGAGGAAGGTAAATTTTAACAATTTAATTAACATTAAAACTAATACAAACTCTCTCCCCCCCATTGGAAAGCGCTGCCTGCCCAACCTTCTCATTTCCAATGTGCGCTCAATTGCCTCTAAGATAGATGAATTAAGTGTCGTTGTTTCCATCAACCAAATCGACATTGTGTGTATTACTGAGACTTGGCTTTCCTCTACGATTCCCGACACGGCAATATCTCTTCCAAATTTTAATATTATTAGAAATGATCGCTCTTCATCTTGTGGAGGTGGAGTGTGCATTTTTATAAACAACAGTATATATTGTCAACGCCTAACTGCTTTTGAAGATCCTACAGTTGAGTCCTTGTGGCTCCTCGTTAGACCCACATGGCTCCCCCGCTCGACTTCAGTTATACTATTGGCTGTAATCTACCACTCCACATCAGCTGGCCACACCGAAAATGTAAACCTTTATTCTCATATCCAAACCAATGTTGATACTTTCATGCAATCACATCCTGATGCCCTTGTTTTAATCACAGGAGACTTCAATTATAGGAGTACTGGTTTCAACGCAAAATATATCCAAAGATCAATTGGCCTTTTCCAAATAATTAAGGTGCATACTAGAGATAATGTAACCTTAGACTGGTGCCTAACTAACCGCAATGATAGCTTATACGATCCTATCAAATTTCCACCTCTAGGAAACAGTGATCATAACATGGTTTGTTTAAAATCCCTAAATCCCCCTTTAAAACCTGATAAAGTCAAGGTATGGAAGCGGGACCTTAGGGAAAGCTCGTTACAACCTTTTGGCCGCTGGATAACTTCATTTGATTGGTCAGATATTTTTACTACAAATGCGTGCGAAGATAAATATGGAAAATTTAATGACATAATGAGTGATATGATTGATATTTTACTCCCTTTTGAAAAGAACTAAAGTAACTAAATGTGACAAACCATGGCTGACGTCATCAATAAAAGAGTTAATTATAAAACGTCAAAAAGCTCTCCATTATTATGGGAAAAATTCTGATGCGTATAAACTCTGGCGAAACCAAGTCCAGCAATCAATTAAATCGGCCCGATTTAAGTATTATGCCCAATCAGTTGAGAAACTAAAAACTTCCAATCCCTCAAGATGGTGGAAAGAAATTAAGTCGTTGGGTGGTATATCTTCCAAAAGTTGTTGGTATAATCAACTACTTTCTAATGATATTCCTAATTGCCATGACTTGGCTGAAGTATTTAACTGTTTCCTTTCCGGTCTTACATCACATTTTACTCCTTTAACACGCGAGGAAGAACAATTGGATTTCAATGTACCAGGTGAATACCTCATCGACGCTAATAAAGTGTACAATGAACTCCGCAAAATTAAAACCAATAAAAGCCCTGGTCCAGATATGATACCTAACAA